GGCCTCAGTCAAGTCCCCTATCCTGAAGCGGAGGATTTCTGCACACAAGCAGCTTGAAATCCAGTTCCCTCTCTCCAGACATCCTCAGCCTTGGAACTCAAGCTACCCTTTAAACCCTAAACCCTAAACGTCATACATAGATGCCTTTAACACCTGCAGAGCTGTTTCAGGCACATTGGAACTTCGGGGCGTGTCGCGACTCGTGGGGGTCTTAGTCTGCCCTGGGGTTTAGGGTTTAGGGTTTGGGGTTTAGGGTTTAGGGTTTGGGGTTTAGGGTTTAGGGTTTGGGGTTTGGGGTTTAGGGTTGGATTTATAAGGTTTGGGGTTAAATCCCAGCCCCCCCTCCCCCCCCTCAGATTAGAGTTCGGGGCTTGAGGGTTTGGGTTTTGGGTTCAGGTTTCTGGGTGTGGGGTTTCGGGTTTGCAGAGTGGCTGAAGGAGCTGCAGAAGCCGGAAACCCTGAGCCCTAAACCCTAAACCCTAAACCCTAAACCCCCCCAAAACGGGTCCCGAGTTTAGAAAAGCAGGCCACAGAGCTCCAAGGTTGGATGGGTAAGGGTTTAGGGTTTAGGGTTTAGGGTTTAGGGTTTAGGGTTTAGGGTTTAGGGTTTAGGGTTTAGGGTTTAGGGTTTAGGGTTTAGGTTTTCGGGTTTCGGGTTTAGGGTTTGGGGTTTGGGGTTTAGGGTTTTAGGGTTAGGGTGTAGACCCAGATTAGGCCCTTATGGCCCTTATTGCTATCTTTTAGGGTTTGGGTTCCCTTATCTAACCCTTGAAGCCAAAAAGGGCACCCTTGTTATTGCTAGGTTGCTCTTGGGTTAGTTTCTGGGGTCGGAGTGTAGGGGTTTGGGTTTGGGGTTTAGGGGGTTTGGGGTTTAGGCAGGTTCCCTCGTAAATATGAAAGGGTGCCCTTTGACATGACTGCTTTGCTAACCCTTCACCCCTGTTTCCGTATGGCCACGGGGCTACGAAGTGTTAAGAAGCAGAAATTTCTGGGGAGTTCTCTAAATTAGGGTCCCTTTTTAGGTACCGTAAATGAGAATAGTAAGGACCGCAAAAAGGGAGCTTGATTTAAAGAACTCACCATGTAGCTACATAAGAGTGTTTTGGGTTTCAGGAGCCTTGCTCAGTTCTCGACATGATGGTCCTTATTTGGGTACCCCAAATAAGAGGGGCTGCCTTCTGATAAGATCCTCAAAAGGGACCGTAGTTTTGACAAGTGACCATTTAGGGCTTAGTCGCGCTTGGGGATTTGGGGTAGTTTAGGGTTTATCAACCCTAAACCCCAAACCCCAAACCCTCAACCCTAAACCCGTTTAGGGATTGGAGTGGAGGCCGGACGGTGCCAGGGAATCTTTCAGCCTCGACTTCCACGCCGTTTAGGGTTTAGGGCCTAGGGTTTAGGGTTTGAACCTCTCATCGGGTTCTTCTTGAGAAACTGAGAACTACCTTACCATTTGGAAGGTTCCCCCTTCTACTAGCAGTCCGTTTTTGGATTATAACAGGGGGTACTAGAATCCCTATGAAGGACTGTTAGTAACAGGGGGAGCATCCCCTAAACCCGAAACACACTGTAGCCAAGGTTCTTGAACAGGGCGATTGCCGGCACATTGGGAAACCTCGCCGGTCATGGTGTCGAGCATGCGCCTTGCATGCGACCGAGGGCCTCGGGCCTAGGGCGGTAGTTACATGGTCCCTTTAGGATGAGCCCTTACCTTCCTTAAAGGGTTCTGAAGTATGGGCCCTTGGGTTTCATAGGGTGTATAAGGGGCATTCTACAGCTTCCCATTTGAGGGCCCAGACTAAGGCACCATGCAACTACCCTCAGGGCTTTAAGGTTTGCGGAGTGGGATCATCGCCAGGGCGGGCGCCCTAAGCCCGAAGCTCCAAACCTCAACGCCAGGCTCCTGTAGCCCTGGGTTTCGGCAGCAAAGGCCCCTCCCTGCCCAAAACCCTTAACCAGGTATGCCCCAAACCCTAAACCCTAACCCTAAACCACGAGTCAGGGTCCAGATGCCCAGAGTCACGGTAGAGTAGCTGCTATTAAATTCAGCCGAATGAACAATCCTGACTTCAACGCTAACCGCCCCCTATGATGCCCCTTCTGCTGGGGTTCGGGGTGTTTAGGGTTTAAACGGTTTATGGTGATTGGGGTAAGGTCGCTAAACCCTAAACACTAAACACTAAACCCTAAAGCCTAAGCCCTAAGCCCTGAGTCAGGGCCCAGGTGCCCAGAGTCTCTGTTTGAGTAACCCTTCTCTTGAGCCGCGAAAGCGAGGTGCACTGGCATGCCGCCACCCGGATGCTTGAGGCCCCACATGGGCTTTAGGGTTTAGGGTTTAGGGTTTACAAGGAGAGGCCCTCCGCCCCCCCCCCCCCCCCCCCCCCCCCTAGTTATAAGTAGAGAGTTATAAGGCCCTAAATAGGGTTATAAGGATCCTAACTCAGGTTATAAGTCCCTTAGCTATGTTAGTTTAGTAAGGGGGCCCCTCCTTGTAGGAGTTTAGGAGTTTAGGGTTTAGGGATTTGGGGTCTAGGGTTTGAGAGTAAAGGGTTTAGGGTTTGGGAGTTAAGGGTTTAGGGTTAGGGTTTAGGGGTTGGGGGTTATATAGGGCTTAAGTGTTTAGGCTTTAGGCTTTAGGGGCTTAGGGTTCTTTGAGCACAGAATCCCTGCGACTTTGAGGTGGTTTGGATGACAGCCTCAACACTCAACCCTACACCCCAAAACCTTCAAAACCTAAGCCCTTGAACCCCTAACCACCAAGCCATACACCCCCCCCAAGAGAGAATCAAACAACAACCCTAAACCCTGAATCCCCCTAAACCCTAAACCCTAAACCCTAAACCCTAAACCCCTAAACCCCTAAACCCCTAAACCCCTAAACCCCTAAACCCCTAAACCCCTAAACCCCCATGGGGGGCTCTACACCCGAGGCCCACCCCAAGCGAACAGGTCGCGGGGCTCTTGGCGCGCAACGCCGTCAAGGCCCCAACTCCCGCACGCCGCCCAGATGTATATATATATATATATATATATGTATATATATATATATATATATTTTTTTTGTTTTTTAAAGGTTTGTTTTTTTGTTTTGAGGGGTGGGTGGGTGTGGGTTTAGGGTTTCAGGGTTTCAGTTTTTGGTGTTTAGGGGTTAGGGTTTCTTTTTGGGGAGGGGGCGGGGGGAGGGTTTGGGGTTTCAGGGTTTTAGGGTTTTTAGGTTTAGCTTTGTTCTAGCGTTTAGGAGTTTCGGGCTTCTTAGTGTTTAGGGTTTAGGGCGTTTGGCGGCATAGGGGTTTCCGGAGTCCGGGTTTTGGGGAATTTGGATTTCAGCGATTTGGGGGTTTAGGGCTTTGGTTTTTGCTTAGTGCTGCGTCTTCCCTAATTAATGGATGCGTCTTCGCTTTATATGCGTTCGTTTTGCATGTTGGTGCGTCTTCGCTTGCTATGTACGGCTGCTTTGCTTATGGACGCATCTTCGCCGTTGTTTTGCTTGCTGCTCTTTCTTCGCTCACTACATGCGGTTGTTTTGCTTATGGACGCATCTTAGCTTACTATATGCCGTTGTTTTGTGCATTGGCACGTCTTGGCTCACTACATGCGGTTGTTTAGCTTATTGGTGGGTCCTAGCTTACTAAACTTACTGTCTGCATTTTCTTCATACATATATCTATATAATATACATATACATATACATATATGAGTTGGTGCGTCAGCCCCAAACCCAAAGCCCTAGACCATGACGGGTTCTTCCTCAGGCTTTTCGTGCCATCACCAGCGGTCGAAGCCACGAGCAACAACCGTATCCGGGCCAGTTCAACCGTATCAGCCTGGATGAACCGAAGAATAGTACCAATCACATAGTATTACCGCGTCCTCATGGTCTAGTTGTTGCCCCACAGCTCTCTCCTTGTCACTTCACCTCTCATCACACAGTATTATACCGTGCTCTCTTGACAAGGAACACATAGGAACCGTACCATCATGAGTCTTTCTACTGGAATTCACCTCTCACCCAATATAAACGCTCCGAAAGCCCCAAAGCCCTGAAGCCCGAAGCCCCGCGTTTAGGGTCTAGGGTTTACGGTTTAGGTTTTAGGGCTTGGGGTTTTGAAAGTTTAGGACGCCCGCAGTGTGCTTCGGCTCAGGCACGCGGCGCTGCTGATGAGGCAGAGCTGCATCGATCCAGGTGGGGGCGATGGCTTGGAAGGATGAGGGTTTAGGGTTTAGGGTTTAGGGTTTAGTGCTTTGGGTTTTGGGGTTTAGGGTTTACCGGGTAGGGTGCCGCAAGGCATTTTTATGGAGTGTAGCGCGTCTGCTTGTGAGCGTCTCGGGTTTTGAGGGTTTTGATGGCGTTGACGGCTTTTGGGTTCAGCTGTGTCTTGTTTGGCCTTATCTGTAAGATATGTATTTTCAGACCGACTTTGCTGAGGTCCTGGCTCTGGCTTGCTCCTTTGGGCGTGGAAAGCAATCAAATCACTCCACCTCCGCAGCATAACTTAGAGGCCCTGAACCCTAAACCCTAAACTTGCCCTAAACCCTAAACCCTAAACCGTAAACCCTAAACCCTAAACCCTAAACCCTAAACCCTAAAGCCCAAGCCCTGATGAAGCTCAAGCCAGCAGTGGAGGCCCTGAAGCCTGAACATGCAAAGCAACAAAAAACAAGAAAACAAAGAAGGGAGCCCAAGCCCAAGCACACCAGGGCGAACATCATGGGGGTTTAGGGTTTAGGGTTTAGGGTTTAGGGTTTAGGGCTTAGGGCTTAGGGTTTAGGGTTTAGGGTTTAGGGTTTAGGGTTTATGCCCCCACTCCGCCCTGAACTAGGAAGGCAGGAATCTGTCTGGCATTTGGGGGGGGGGGGGGGGGGGGCTCGGCGAACTAGAACCGTTTAGGGTTTAGGGTTTAGGGTTTAGGGTTTAGGGATTCCCTTTTTGGGGGGTTCGGGTTCCCTTCTAAACCACGTTCAGCCAAAAAAGGGGGCACCATTTCTATTCCTAGGTTATCTAAATAACCTGGTGCCTTGGTAACGTGCATGGTCCCTAAACCCTAAACCCTAAACCCTAAACCCTAAACCCCTAAACCCCTAAACCCCTAAACCCTAAACCCCTAAACCCAAAACCGCTTCGGGGCTTGGTTACCTCCCAATTTCCCTGCTCAGACCTTCGGAGCCGATTGCCTTAACGAGGTTTATGGTGTACCTTCTACTGGGAGCCCTAGGGTTTAGGGTTTAGGGTTTAGGGTTTAGGGTTTAGGGTTTAGGGTTTCAAGTCCATGATCTCAATCCATAAACCCTAAACCCTAAACCCCCTAAGCTCAGAGGGGCTCGTTTTAGTCCACCGGTCAGGTGGCTTCCTTTACACCGGTGACCTTGAACCCTAGCCGTTTTGTTGTTTCTGGGTTCCCACCATAGCTACTTATACCGAAAAGTTTATACTTTTTCCAGGGTCTAGGGTTTAGGGTTTAGGGTTTAGGGTTGAGGGTTTAGGGTTTAGGGCTTAGGGTTGTTTATACTTTTCCCAGGGTCTACTCCAAATTAGGGTTAGGGTTGAGGCTCTATTGGGTTTAGGTTTGTTTTGGACACCATTTGGTCCCTGTGGGCAAGTGAGGTCATGGTTACATGAACAGAAGTTGGCTATTCGACAAACCTCGGATTCCCCAAATTGGGCCCTAAACCCTGAACCTCAACCCCCCCCCCCCCCCCCCCAAAAAAAAAAAAAAAAAAAAAAATCCTAGCCAACCTTGCAGCACCACCAACCCCCTAACCCCCCTCCCCAAACCATACCCGAAATCTTGCAAAGCCCGAAACTCTAAACCCTAAGCCCTAAACCCTAAAAGCAACCCCCAAGCCCTACAGCCTTAAACCCTAAATCCTGAACCCTAAAACCCTAAAACCCTAAAACCCTAAAACCCTGAAACCCTGAAACCCTAAAACCCTAAAACCCTCAAACCCTCAAACCCTCAAACCCTAAAGCCCTCAAACCCTCAAACCTCAAACCCTCAAACCCTAAACCCCTAAGCCCTAATGCGCTAAGCCCTCGACCCTCAGCGGCTGGCAGGATGGTCAAGGCGCTGCTCCGCTCGCTTCTGAGGCTGAGGGGTAGGGAGGGGTTTGGGGTTTAGGGTTTGGGGTTTAGGGTTTAGGGTTTGGGGTTTAGGGTTTAGGGTTTAGGGTTGAGGGTTTCGGGTTTAGAGTTTGGGGTTTAGGGTTTAGGGTTTAGGATTTGCTATTTTAGGGTTGGGGCTTGGCTTTGCAGGGTTTAGGTCCTTGGGTTCTTTCAGGGTTCTCGTAACTTTAATGGCTCAGAGCCAACCGCATGGTGTTGCCCTCTCATTATCAACACGAAGTGGCTGCCTATGAAGGTAGTTTGGCTCGAGAGGGCTTCGGGGGTAGCAGATAGAGGCACAGATCCGGGGTCCCGAATCACAGTACAGCTCAGCGCCGTGTGAAACTAGGGAGACTTGGAAATAATTTTAATTTTTGGGGTACTATAATTCCTAAGAAACAGCAAAAATTTAAGAGTTTTTGCTAGGGTTCCAAGTTCAGTATAGAGTTCAGGAGCTTCCTAGCTTGAACACCACAGAGGCAGTGACCTCAGCTTGAGACATCACTTGCGCTGTGCGCACGCGCGTCCTGCCATGTCCAATGACCTGGAGGGCCTCCCGCTACAGCGGCGTGATGCGCAGGCCCAGGCAGCGCTAGATGACATCGATCCTCACTTGCTGCAAGACCTGCAGACCTGTTTGAAAGGCAGGCGGGACATGGGCGGAGGTCAGGCCTCTTGGCAGTTGTGGGAGCAGATGTTCAAACTGGTCGGGGCAGCCACAGGCCAAGTCTCCATCCCCTGCTTGAAGTTCACGGTTAAGCGGCGGGAGACAAAGAAGCAGAACGGAACTCTCTTAAATATCGAGTTGCCAAGGTTGCATGGTATCAAGGTAGTTCGTACTGTGCACAATCGAGAACAGGAGCAATGTGCCAATTCGGTTCTTACCCCGAGGATTGTCGACTTCCCTGGACCTGAGGACAAAATCTGCCCCGGTGATGAATGCTGGATCCTTCCAATTTTGGACAACTTTGTGCAGATGAAATCGTGCCCTTACTTTCAGCACAGACTACGGCAAGTTCGGGACAGACTACTGCAAGCTTATGATCGTTTGTACACGGCTGATGAAACAGGTCGCGCAACAGTTGTCTGCAACAAGTTGAAGAGCTTTGTGGACCTGTTTGCCAGAGATGCAGAAGTAGTCCTTGACTGGCTGCCTGTGCGTTGGTACATGTACCCTGCCGAAGCTTCTCCTGCAGCCGTATGCACCAAGTCGCAGGCGAAGCCCTTGTTAGAACGGGTCGCAGACAATGAACAATTCTGGCATAGGTTTCTGGACGAGGAAGCCCATGTTTTGAAGCTGTTGTACATGAACATGCGCCATACATTTGGGGTCAGCCCGGTTGCCGTGATCCACGGCGACGGCCGAAACGAGTGCAGAGACTGGTATGCGGGGGCCTGGGAGATGCCAGAGCGCTGCACAACGGTGGTGTTTCCAGGGGACCGCCTAGTCTTCCTGGAGCCGGCGGATGTATCCCTCAAAAGGAGAGTTGAGGAGATGTGTCATGATAGAGTGACGAGTTTAGAATACATCCGGAGGTTGAGTTGTTGGACGCGCCCTGTGTTGCTCTCTCTTGGCCCCTTGCCGCCCGAAGGGCGCCATTCGGATCTCCTTGAGCTCCTGATGGCAGCTATGGCTCCGAACGCCGTGCGGCCTGCCACGCGCCGCGGCCACAGAAGTCAAGATCAGTAGCGAAATGCTGACAACAATATTGCTTGCGGAAAAATTATAGACATCATCCAAGGCAATATAACGGGTGACGTCGAATGCGCACATCATGGCACTGCTGCGCGGGGTTCGTGCTGGGTGTGTCTCGCCAGATGGCAAGCTGGGCTTTTGCAACGAGGGTTTAGGGTTTAGCGTTGAGGGTCTTAATGGGTGTCGGGTTTAGGGTTTAGGGTTTAGGGTTTAGGGTTAAACCCAAAACCCTAAATCCTAAACCCTAAACCCTAAACCCTGGGTTTAGGGACCACTTTCTGACGAGTGGTTTGTTTGTGCCCTGCTTGCCGAACTTGGGACGGGACGAGGCACGCACAGTATAATTGCCGGCAGCCGTCACCCTGCACGGCTCTGCAAGGCTCAGCCTCAGGAGACCAACACATGAATATCTACATATATATATATACACATTACAAATACTCTCAGAATTATATGGATGCTACAGTGCAGGACGCTTCAGTGTCATATGCTGTGCCATCCATGTAATGGTAGTATGCTGATATTGCCATACGTGCTACGTGCTGCCAGGATAATTGCTCGAACCCGAACCCTAAACCCTAAACCCTAAACGCTAAACCCATCCTCTCCGGGCCGGTTGGTAGCAACCGCTTTTTTATACACGGGCTATTATGCCCTGTAGCCCCTTAAAAGAATAGCCCATCCTGGTAGTGCCTGTTTAGGGTTTAGGGTTTAGGGTTTAGGGTTTAGGGTTTAGGGTTTAGGGAACATCCCTAAACCCCAGATCCGAAACTTCACTGTAATCGAAGGCCCTCTACTCCCAGACCTCGAACGTTGCCTTTACAACACCTTAACCCCTCCACTCTTCTTATGCAGTTCAGGGTTTAGGGTTAGGCTTTAGGGTTCTAAGCCTAAACCCTAAGCCCTAAACCCCAAACCCCAAAAGAGCCAAGGCCCCCCTCCCACCCTCCTTCTGCAAGGAGCGTCCTGGAACACAAAGTACTCAGAGGCTCAGGGTTCATGGTACTTACTTAACCAATCTTGGGGTTTAGGATTTAGGGTTTAGGGTTTAGGGTTTAGGGCTTTGGGCTTTCTTCTGCCTGGCTCTTAGGACTCTAATTTTTTGGGGTTTTGTAGAAAATGCAATATAAGGAGCCTAAAAGTTAAACTTTTAGAGGTGTTCAGAAGTCAGCCAAGCAATTAACAACTGTACCTATAACCCACTTGTAAGCTCCAAAAAAGTGCCCTAATAGGGTTATGAGCACCCTCATAGGTACAGTCATAGCGGGTTCATAAGTACCATGAACCTCTGCGTAGGCTGGTCTCCAGCTGCTTGCGCGGCCCGCGAGTGCCAGCCGGGCCTGTTTAGGGTTTAGGGTGTAGGGTTTAGGGTTTAGGGTTTAGGGTTTGGGGTTCAGGGCTTCAGGGCTTCAGGGGTTCAGGGTTTAAGGTTTAGGGCGCTTAAGGTATTGGGGGGCGCTTTAGATTTAGATCATACGAGGATGTACAGGTTTAGGGCTTTAGGCAGGGTCAAAGGGCTGTTTTTTGGCAGTTCGGGATTGCAGTTTTCTGGACCCGGCAGCCCTTTTTTCTTCCCTAAACCCTAAACTTCACAAGCCCTCTAAGCCCTACCCTAAGGGTCCATGTACCTAAATATGGAATACTTGGGCCTTAAAGTACTTCCTATACAAGGACTTTTGGGTCTAAGTATATAATAATGAGGTACATGGACCCTTAGGGCTAGAAGCCCCTCTATCTACCGCAGGCCTCACGCAGCTTAGGATTTTGAGGCCTTGCGGGGGTTTCTCGCATGAGCAGGGGCTTAAAGCAGGGTTTTCTTACCAGTTCTTCAGGCTTGGGCTGACCTTAACCCTAACCCATCCTAACCCTAAACCCAAACCCTAAACCCTAAATCCTGCGTTTGTGGCTGTCTGGGCAATTGGGGGATATGGTGTCGTTTGGTTGTGGCTGTTCTTCTCTCTCTGCACCGGGGCCTTCAATCCGAAACCCTGAACCCTGAACCCTAAACCCTAAACCCTAAACCCTAAACCCTAAACCCTAAACCCTAAACCCTAAACCCTATAACATGATCCTGAGCCTTCGACCCGCAATCAGAAGGTAGATTCTTGAGGGGGGCTCCTGAGGCCAGCCCTTGGAAGCCCTACGAGAGGGTTTAGGGTTTAGGGTTTAGGGTTTTGGGTTTAGGGTTTAGGGTTTAGGGTTTAGGGTTGAGGGTTTAGGGTTTAGGGTTATGGGTTGAGCCCTTGAAAGCTCCAGGACTACCAACACTCAGCTCGTCTATGCCCTGCAGAAGGACTACCCGTCGCAGCCGAACCCTGAGAAAGGGCTTAGGGCTTTTGGGCTCCGGGTCGCCTTATGGACGCCTAAGCCCTGTAAAACCTAACCCCTAAACCCTATGAACGCCAACAAGTTGTTTCTCTTATCCTAAACCCTAAACCCTAAACCCTAAACCCTAAACCCTAAACCCTAAACCTAAACCCTAAACACTAAACACTAAACCCTCAACCCTAAACCTAAACCCTAAGTTTAAGAATTCCCCAGAGGTGTGTTTAGAATCAGAAGCTACAAGTTCGGGATCGGTTGGAAGGCTTAGGATTGCTGTGCTGGAGGTTGCAGGGCTTAGGGGTTTAGGGTTTAGGGTGTTGGGGTTTAGGTTTTAGGGTTGAGGGTTTAGGGTTTAGGGTTTAGAGTTCAGGGGTCAGGATTGAATTAGGGGTGTAGAGGCTTATGGGTGAGGGTTTGTGCTGTACTTTGACCTCCGAGCTGGGTGTCGATGGTCCCTCCCCGCTGCAGGTCGTAAGACTCAGAGAGGTCTCGGATACAAGTTGCGAGTTCGTTAAGGTTTAGGGTTTAGGGTTTAGGGTTTAGGGTTTAGGGTTTAGGGTTTAGGGTTTAGGGTTTAGGGTTTAGGGTTTAGGGTTTAGGGTTTAGGGTTTAGGGTTTAGGGTTTAGGGTTTAGGGTGGAAATGATGGTCCCTTTCGGGGTACGCGAAACATGAGGGCTGCCTTATAATCGTAACCTTAAAAGGGACCATCATTTGGAGAACTGACCAAGTAGAATTCGCATTTTCCTGCCGAGACAGAAAGGTCATGTTTAGGGTTTAGGGTTTAGGGTTTAGGGTTTAGGGTTTAGGGTTTAGGGTTTAGGGTTTAGGGTTTAGGGTCCAGGGTTTAGGGTTTAGGGTTTAGGGTTCAGCATCTCATGTCCAAGCCTTCACTAGTCAAGCAGCTTGTCAAGCGTTGGAAAAAAACCCCACCCACCCAAGAAACCCATAACATTGAGAAAATACAAAGTTCATTCAATACATTTTCAGTAGGCTTATAGCTCAAAAGTCCGCCCAAAACCTAAAATCTAACTTTTTGGAAGCAAACTTTCCCTCTTAAGGGGGGTCGGAGTTGGAGGAAGCTCAGTTTGAGTCAAAAACCAGAAAACGAGAGGCCACCCAGAGCCGTCGACTTCAGTACTAAAAAATCGCATTTTTAATTGGGACCCGGGCCGATCCTGGGGTCCCCCCTCATTTGGGGTGTTTTTGGAAGCAAACTTTCCCTCTCAAGGGGGGTCTCCAAGACGATTTTGCCTTTAAAATTGAAAGACCCCCCTTGACCAAAACTAGGCTGAAAAGGTCGCAGGGGTGGCCCGTCATCAGAATTGAGGGTTAAAAACCCTGAAACACCCTGAAAAACATTGGAAAAACTTACAAAACACGGAAAAACTTTGAAAAACCTTGACAGAACGTGACATCCTGAAGCCGTGAAGCTCGGTTTTGGTCAAAAATCCAGGGCCCCCCCGGGTGGAAAAAAACCATTTGCCCACGAAGGGGGTCAGGGAAGCGGGTCAGGGTTTAGGGCCCCCCCGGGTGGAAAAAAACAATTTGGTCACGAAGGGGGTCAGGGTTTAGGGCCCCCCCGGGTGGAAAAAAACCATTTGGTCACGAAGGGGGTCAGGGTTTAGGGCCCCCCCGGGTGGAAAAAAACCATTTGGTCACGAAGGGGGTCAGGGTTTAGGGCCCCCCCGGGTGGAAAAAAACCATTTGGTCACGAAGGGGGTCAGGGTTTAGGGCCCAAAGGCTCGGTTTTGATCAAAAATCCAGAAAACGAGAGCCCACCCAGAAGCGTCGATTTCAGTACTAAAAAATCGCATTTTGAACTGGGACCCGGGCCGATCCTGGGGTCCCCCTCATTTGGGGTGTTTTTGGAGGCACGGCCCAGGACAAAAAACAATTTGGTCACGAAGGAGGTCAGGGTTTAGGGCCCAGAAAAAAAAACAACATGGTCACGAAGGTCATTAGGGTTTAAATATACATAGTAAGAGAGGGTTTAGGGTTTACGGTTCATGCATGCTGTTGGCTGTTGTGAAACGAAGCGTATGCGGCATTTTGCATCAGGGCTTGCAGGTACAAAAGGCGCAGGCAGCCAGACCCTGACATGGGGCTTTATGTTCCCTTCAGAATAAGCCCCTTTAAACCAAAAATGGCACGCCTTTTCTCTTAGCTCTAGTTATGGTGATTGTCCTTTGTCGCTCATCTTGATTCAGATGGTGCACTGCCTCGGTCTGTGATGCGGTCTTTGTATCACTGTATTTGGCTCAAAGAGGAAGCAAGAGCCGAAGCGTTGCCAAGCCACGCCGTGACACATGGTTTAGGGTTTATGTAGGGTTTAGGGTTTAGGGTTTAGGGTTTAGGGTTTCTGTAGGGTTTATCCAAAGTGCTGGGTGCTGGTGTTTGTCTTCATGGGTGAGTGTTTGGCGCGAGCAACTCCGCTCCAGTCTAACAAAGGGACCCTATGGCTGACCTAAACCATGACGTGCCTGCAACCGACCTACCAGTCATACTGGGGCAGAGGGAGCTGCAGGTAGCTCCGAAGCATAGCAGTGAGGCGGCATCGAAGGAGGATGAGCTAAAGAAAGGAGCTGGCAGTTGTCGGTGGATTCCGCTGGCAGGATGGTTCCAGATGTTATACGCCAACTTTGGCACCTTCGTGCCACTTGCCATGCTGGCTTATGGCTTGCAGCAGAGCTGCGCCAGGAGCACTCAAGAATTTGCGTACAAGTACTACATGATGGATGAACTGAAGCTAGACGGTGCAACCATTGGCAGGTTGCTCACAACTTCAATGATGCCCTGGAATCTCAAACCTGTTCTGGGAATGCTTTCGGACGCGGTGCCCCTGTGTGGATTCCACCGCACGTCGTACCTGGTCATCATGTGCGTTCTCTGCATCCTGATGTATTTGTGCCTGGGTTTCTTTGCCCTGTCTACATTGGGGTTGCTTTTATGCATCTTTGTCATAGTTGGGAAAACATTTTTCCTTCTTAAGGGTACAGTACTTAAACCCTATAAGGAATAAAAGATATGTTCTAATATTTCCCCAACAATGAACTAGGCATGACCGGCATCAACTTGGGAGTCGCAATGTCAGATTTGGTTCTCGATGCCACAGCTGCCGGCCTCGCGAAGCAGCACCCTGCCCAAGCATGCGACCTGCAAACATCACTACAGGCTTGGTTAGGGTTGAGGGTTTAGGGTTCAGGGTTTAGGTTTTAGGGTTTAGGGTTTAGGGTTTAGGGAGCCCGGTGGTACCCTTTTCCCTTCTTTTAGGTTCAAGGTTCCCTTTATAAAGTAACCAACCCCGAAAGGGGTGTGCCCTTATTATAATATGTTTGCAAACAGCACTACAGGTGTCTCGAGCCATGGTAGCCCAGTGGTACCCTTTTCCTTCCTTTTGGGTTCAAGGTTCCCTTGTACAGTAACCAACCCAGAAAAGGGGTGTGCCCTTATTTTGGTATGGTTTACTGGGCTACCAAGCACCCTAAACCTTGAACCCTGAACCCTGAACCCTGAACCCTGAACCCTGAACCCTAAACCCTAAACCCTAAACCCTAAACCCTAAACCCTAAACCCCACCCTAAACCCTAAACCCTAAACCCCAATAAGGAGCAGTGGGCGGCATGACTTCCAGCATCTCCAAGGGAGCGCTTCTTGCAAGCCTCGGTCCGCGCAGGACAATTCTGAGCAACATTGCCTGTTCAGTGGCCGTGCTCGTGCCAGCATTGAGAACCTTGGGAACCACCATGAACCCTAAAAGGGTTGATGGCCCATATCTACCCTAGTAGGAATTACAGTCGTATAGGGTCTATGCCCCCAATTTTGAGGTTCTGTCGTCCCCAAGGAAGATGGTTGCCAGAAGAGCGCGCCCCGGTTGCCTGCTGCACTTTAAAGGCAGAGAAGCTCACTTGGAACTCCAATCTCGCAGCTGCCGCAATCTTCCTTGCAATCGTTGCGGTGGCGCTGTCTGTGACGCAGACTGTGGTGCAGGATTGGCGTCTTAGGGGAAGTGTGGTGTGCTGTTCTGGCATCCTGGTCGTGTTGATTTCATACGGCGGCTTGAGGAAGATCTCAGCCAGCTTATCCAACACCGCGTTGCTCCTCTTCCTGCGTGCTTTCTTGCAGCCAGGGTTGGGTGAATCGATGTTCGTGTGGATGTCGAAAGCTGAAACTTTGCCATAGTTGGGTAATATGTTGCATGTTTAAGGGTACTTACACACAATGAGGAATAGCATATTAAGTTTTTTACATTATCCCAACCACGCACTAGGAAAATGGCCCACAGTTCACTCCGCAGCTTCTGGGCATGGCAGACTGCTTTGGCATGGTGGGCCTGTTGCTGGGCGTCCTCTGCTTCAACACGCTCTTGAGGCGGTGGACGTATCGAAGCATCTTCTTGCTTGCGCAGTCTCTTGTGATCCTCTGCCACTAGGTGGCGGCCCTGGGGGGATTGCAATTTTTTCTGTCTTGGGTTAAAGAGGATCTCAGAATCTTACTTAGCCAATAGTTGGACTTCAAGCCTTTTGGGCTTCCTTGTTTGGTAGGAATAATTCTAGTTTAACCTTTTTGTACCCTTGGTTATTTGGAGAAGTAAGTAATTCAGCAATAAAGCTCAGAGGGGTTTTAAGATTGTTTGGGCCATCAAAACCCTCAACCCTCAACCCTCAACCGTCAACCCTAAACCCTAACCCTAAACCCTCAACCCTAAACCCTAGACCCTAAACCCTAAACCCTAAACCCTTAACCCTAAACCCTAAACCCTAAACCCTAAACCCTAAACCCTAAACCCAGGCCAACTCTTGGACCTCATCTTGGTGATGCGCTGGAATACCGCGATTGGAGTTACCGACTTGGTGACTTGGGGTTCTAGGGTTTAGGGTTTAGGGTTCAGGGTTTAGGGCTATGAACCAATGATAGCTGTACGTATCGCCCACGTTTAAACCCTAAACCCTAAACCCTAAGCCCTAAACCCTAAACCCTAAACCCTAAGGGCCCCAACGTGGTTGTTACTGTCAGAAGTACAGCTATAAGTACAGTGACAATTGGTGAATAAGCACCATGAACCTCCAAGTAGTTCGCCCCAGAGGTACCCTTTTGCCTTTTGCCAATTGATGTACAGCAGCGGTACCCTTTTGCCTTTTTGCCAATTGCTGTACAGCACAAGGCTCTCTTAGGGAGTACTTCAACCCCCCCAGAAGGATACCCTTATCTGCACTTTTTTTGGTCCAAGGTGCCTTTACAACAGAAACTCACCCCACCCCCTCACAAAATAAAACAGAATAAGGCAAATAATCATAATTGTACTATTTATCATATTAACAACTATAATAATGATAATAATAATAAGAATAATAATAAAGAAACTGACCGTGGCATGGTTACTGGGGGCTACCAAGGTGTTCTATCTCGGCGACGAGACCTTTGACCAAGCAGTTGCTCGGATACTTTATCTTCCCTTGGTCGTGCTGGCGTGCCTTGGTAGCCCAGTGGTACCCTAAACCCTAAACCCTAAACCCTAAACCCTAAACCCTGAACCCTGAACCCTAAACCCTAAACCCTAAACCCTAAACCCTGAACCCTAAACCCTAAACCCTAAACCCTAAACCCAAAACCCCCCCAAAAAGGGTGCCCCTTAGGATAGCATGGTTGCTGGGCTACCAAGGTACAAGGTGTGTCCTTCTAACCTGGAGACTTGGAAGCCCTGTGGTAGCCTTTTGCCTCTGTTTGCTGTTCCAGGTTTCTTTTTATAGGGCTTAGGGTTTAGGGCTACAGTTTAGGGTTTAGTCTCCATGGTTTTGGGTTTTGGGTTTAGGTTTTATGGTTCAAGGGTTTAGGGTTTAGGGTTGAGGGAGGGTACCCTTGTTAGAAGATGGTTACTGGACTACCAAGGAGGCTACAATGTTCTCCACTCTCATTGCAACCAACAACATCGGAATGGACTGCGGGAAGTACTTGGGCGTTACGTTGGCAGAGTTTTGGGGCCTTGTCGATGGAAACTTCGACTACTTGCCGCACGGCATCGTCTCAAAAGCCGTGATTCGCCTCTTCTCGATTCCTCTCATCTTGATTCTTGCTCCAAGCGTCACCCCCGACGATCCAATTGGTTCCTAGCACAACCCTAAACCCTAAACCCTAAGCCCTAAACCCTAAACCCTAAACCCTAAACCCTAAACCCTAAACCCTAAACATTTGAATGCCAGCTGCCGGAGCCTGTTGCCAGACACGGCAAGTCGGTTCCTTTCCGCGGCACGGCATCAACACCTTCAAGTTCCACTTCAGGTGTGGTCAGGGTAAAGTGTACTTGGAGGTTCAGGGTGCTTATTAGCCAAGTGTAACTGTACTTATAGCCCACTTATGAGCCCCTTAAGTGCCCCAATATGTTTAGAAGTACAGTTACAACCCTAAACCCTAAACCCAATTGGTGAATAAGTTACCATGAACCTCCGAGCATGGTAGGTGTGCTTCTTAATGAAAGGTCGTGCTTCCTCAGAGCCGACAAGGCCCACCTCTTCCCTTCAATTGTCGGCGTTTCCGCCGTGGATGTTTCTTAGCCTGGTTCTTACTATGGAATGAGGGAATGAGGGCCCTGAATATACCCTTTAAGGGGTGATATATAGGGCCCTCAAGGACCAGGCAGTCTTAGCCATGGCGTTGTCTCACTGTGTCTTTTTTCCTCAGCAACAAAGATCTGCTGGGCGTCAGTTCTCTGGCAAATCTGATCTGAAAACCTTTGCAAAAAGAGGAGCAGGCTCTAGTTAGGGCGGTGATGGGATTTCCAGCGACTCAACCCTAAACCCCAAAGCCCCAAATCCCCAAACCCCCGCATATTCCCCCCTAAATCCTGAGCTCCCTAAGCACCCGAAGGCTTCCCAAATCCAAAGGTTACCCTAAGCCCTAAGCCCTAAACCCGAACCCCATCCCCCCCCCCCCCCCCCGCAGACCTAAACCCAAAACCCCCCCAACCCTGAACCCTAAACCCTGAACCCCTAAACCCTAAACCCCAAACCCTAAACCCTAAACCCTAAACCCCTAAACCCTAAACCCCAAACCCTAAACCCTAAACGACCCCCCCTTGCTTGCACCCAAAGGTTTACCCAGCTGGAAGCCGACCCCGACATGGGCCCTCCGCTCATCCACGCCGCTGCCCTGGGTTTAGGGTTTAGGGTTTAGGGTTTAGGGTTTGGGGTTTAGGGTTTAGGGTTTAGGGCTTGGGGTTTGGGGTTTAGGGTTTAGGGTTTAGGGTTTGGGGTTTAGGGCTTGGGAGTTAGGGTTTAGGGTTTGGGGTTTGGGGTTGAGGGTTTAGGGTGGCACCATGGGCTTTTTGTATGGTCTCTCTTACCCTTGTTGATAGGGATCTGAAGTATGGACCCTGATCATGATTAGTATTACTATTCTTGCTGTTATAAATATCATTTTCAGTATTACGATTGTTGTTTTCATATAACCCTAAACCCTAAACCCTAAACCCTAAACCCTAAACAGTGCATAAGGGTTGTGTAACAAGGGACCCACGTTAGTGGGCTCACACCTTGGACCGCAGAGGCTTCGCTGTGTCCAGTTGAGAGTTTCAGGGCTTTTGAGGGGATTTAGGGTTTAGGGTTTAGGGTTTAGGGTTTAGGGTTTAGGGTTTAGGGTTTAGGGTTTAGGGTTTAGGGTTTAGGGTTTAGGGCTACTCAGGGCTTTGGGGGTTGTCGATGGTTTCGAGTTTTAGGGTTTAGGGTTGATGTGCTTTCCTTGAGGTTTAGGGTAAACCGTTGTGAGCCCTCAACCCTACACCCCGAACCCTACCCCCTCCACTCCTCAAACACCAGACCCTGAACCCCAAACCCCAATCCCGAACCCACCAAACCTTGGACACCCAACCCCAAACGCTAGACCTGCCAAGCTCTGAATCCTAGACCCCCTTCCCCAAGCCGAAGCTACCCCCAATGCCCCCGAAACCGAAAGCAAACTCTCAACTGTAAGCCCTAAACCCCAAACCCAAAACCCGAAGCCCCAAACCCGAAACCCCAAACCCTAAACCCAGAATTAAAAAAAAAAACACCGAAAACTTCAGTGGCGTCCAGGCACGAACCGCCACGGACTGGTTCGAGGCGCTGGGGCTCTGGAAGGTTTAGGGTTTAGGGTTTAGGGTTTGGGGTTTGGGGTTTAGGGTTTGGGGTTTAAGGGGTTTCAAGGGGGGTTTGAGGGGTTGAGAGGGTTTGGGGGGGGGTTTAGGGTGTTTAGGGGGTATGATGGAATTTGGGGTTTAGGGGGTTTGGAGTTTAGGGATTTGGGGTTGAGGGTTGAGGGCCTCGAGCTTTACTGGCTTAGATTTAGGGCGTTAGGATGTAGGGTTCGGAGTTCTCGGGCTGAGTGGGAGGAGCGCTCAGGGAAAAGGGTTTGAAGCTCTAGGGCTTTGGAGGCTTTAGTTCAGGATTTGACGATTACGGGTTTTGGGGTTTAAGGTTTAAATGTCAGGGTTTAGGGTTTAAGAGGCTTTAGGGGTGTAGGGGTTACAGGGCTAGAGGTTTAGGGCTGAGGGCTCAGGCGGGTTTAGGTTCAGGGCCCTGGCTGGCACAGAACCCAACAGGAATAGCCTCAAAAGCTGAAACTCGGGACTCTGGAGTTCTTACTGTTTAGGACGACTTAGGGCCCAAAACCCTAAATCCTACATCCTAAATCCCAAACCCTAAATCCTAAGCCTTCCTAAAGCACAAGCCCTAAGTCCGGAACCCTAAATCGCGCTAAGCCCTAAACCCTAAACCCTAAGTCCTTTACAACCCCAAACCCGAAACCCTACACCCAAGACCGCTTTGGGGCGCAGGCGGGTTTCTTCTCCAAATAGAAGACGTTTGCCGCGTTTCTGGTGGTTTGTGTCTGCCTTTGTCTCCCTTTCTTGGAAGTTCATGGTACTTATTAACCAAGACTTATAGCCATATGAGGGCACTTAGGGGCTTATAAATGGGTCATAAGTGCAGTCATAACTGGTTAGTAAGCACCATGAACCTCCAAGTTGTCTCCCTTCATGTTGGGTGGAGATGGGCCTTGGGTGGAGATGGGCCTTCCGCTTTTCCGAAAATTCGCCTCCCTTCATATAACAAGGGACCCCTATAGTGGACCCCCAGATAGTAGTCCCCTTTCAATAAGGACCCCAATAAGGTGCACCTAATTTCGGAAACCTTCATGCGGGGAAGTATCTTTTCAAAAGCCCTACTGTAAACGCTACACTCGAAGCTTATAAGGTTCTGCTCTACGCTGTTTTGTGGTCTTCGCTATAGTGTTATTTTTTTTCGAAAATAAGGGTACCTTATGGGGGTCCGGATTAGATTGGAGGCGCGTTCAGATACTAAGACACTCAGATACTCAGACACTCACATGCTCAGCTGCTCAGACACTCAGACGCTCAGACGCTCAACACCCTCAGACACTCAGACTCACAGACGCTCAGAAATTCACAAGGGTCTGAGTGACGCGAGTCACTGAGTGACTGGGTTTGTTCTCCCAGCGTGAGAGTCTGAGAGGCTGAGTGACTGAGAGACTGGGTCTGGCCTGGGAAGGTAAGAGTCTGAGTGACTGAGCGACTGGGTCTGCTTTGAGAGGCTGAGTGACTGAGCGACTGGGTCTGGTTTGACCGGCTGAGTGACTGAGTGGTTTCAAATGGCGCCGTTCTGCACGCTCTCATTACCTTGTTAGAAGAAGGGCATCCTACTATTGGGAGGACTATATCAGGGCTCACGTAATTTCCGAAACCCCCAAATACATCCTAACCCTAAACCCTAAATCCTAAACCCTAAACCCTAAAGCATTAGGGGTCCCTTGCTTTCGCAGACTCTCATTTCGGGGTGCGGCGCAGGCGCAGTGCCCTCCCAACGATGACGGCAGCGTGGCGGTCGAGGAGCACCTCGCCCGCTTGGAGGAGGCAGCCCGCTCAGGCTTAGGGTTTATAGGGTTTAGGGTTTAGGGGCCCTAAACCCTGAACCCTGAACCCTAAACTCTAAGCCCTAATGAAACCCTGAACTCTGGACCCTGAACCCCAAATCTCTACTGGGTAGGCCCTTGGGACATTTCATATTTTCCCTTATTGGGTACAAGAGAATAGTATTTAGGAATATTTTTCAGATGGTCCTAAGGCCATCCCAGTCTGGATCTTTCATCCTACCCTAAGGGTCCCCATGTACCTCTTTGGTGTGTTCTTGGGCCTGCAAGGGGTTCCCACATAGTAGCTCTAGGGCAACAGTATTTCTGCCAGAAGGTACATGGACCCTGAGGGCTAGCGGCTAGCTAAGCTCCAGACAGTTACCCTAAACCCTAAACCCTAAGCCCCAAACCCTAAACCCTAAACCCCAAACCCTAAACCCTAAACCCTAAACCCTAAAGCCTAAACCCTAAACCCTCTCAGGCCTCCAGCCGGCTGCCTTCAGAGTTGATGACCCTGGCATCGGCAGGGACCTCTGTCAGCTTAGGGTTTAGGGTTTAGGGTTTAGGGTTTAGGGTTTAGGGTTTAGGGTTTAGGGTTTAGGGTTTAGGGTTTAAGGTGAGGGTCGGGGAGTTGAAGCCCATTGAGTTCGGCTTGATTACAATCGCGGAATTGATGTTAGGGGTTTATAGGTTCAGGGTTTCGGCTTCGGGTTTAGGGTTTCGGGTTTCGGGTTTAGGGTTTAGGGTTTCGGGTTTCGGGTTTAGGGTTTAGGGTTTAGGCTTCGGGTTCAGGGTTCGTACCCAGAATCAATCGGAACCCCCGAAACCCAAACAGGACTGCATGCGCGCCTGCTGGTCCCTGAATACGATGACTTATACGATTCCCTGGGGTTTTAGGGTTTAGGGTTTAGGGTTTTAGGGTTTTAGGGTTTAGTGTTTAGGGTTTAGGGTTTAGGGTTTAGGAGGTAAAGCACAGGCTGGGCTCTACAGGGTGTACGCGAGGCGTACTTGGAGGGATACTCATAGCCTAATTCGGCACCCCCGAAACCCCAAAAGACCCTAAACCCGGAAACCCCCTAAAACCTAAGCCCTAACCCTGATCCCTAAGCCCTAAACTCTGAAACCCTAGCCCTCAACGCTAATTAAACCCTAAACCCTAAACCCTAGCCCTAAACCCTAAACCCTAAACTCCCCGTACAAAGAACCCTTTAGAGACCTCATACGAGGTCGCCGGAGCCAGCGTCTCCGCCTTTGCCGAGACGGAAGACGTTTCGGCCCGACGCCCAAAAACCCACTCGGCGGGGTTTAGGGTTTAGGGTTTAGGGTTTAGGGTTTGGTTTGGGGGTTAGGGCGTTAAGGTGTAGGGTTGAGGGTTGAGGGTTTGGGGTGTGTGGGGCTACGTGATTTTTGTTGGGGTTTCTATTTTTTCCCGGACTTCGGAAGCTTGGTCGTTTTGCGTTTTGGGAGGGTTTAGGGGTGTTAGTACGATTTCGGGAGGGGAGGGCGGGGGTTAGGGTTTAGGGTTTAGGGTTTAGGGCTAAGGGCTTAGGGTTTAGGGTTTAGGGAGGGTGGGCCTTATCTTGGGCACGGGGCTGAATTGGTCACTTGGGTTTAGGGCTTAGGGTTTCGAGCAGTTGCACCTCAAGCCCCTTATTTACGGGTCTTTAGTAGAATTGGAGGGTTTAGGGTTTAGGGTAGGGTGGCGAGATAGAGAAGGCGCGACGCGCGATTTTCCGAGAGTGCCCAGGGAGCCCCTCTGCCCAGACTTACCCTTAGCACCCTAATTACAGCAGAAACCCTAAACCCTAAAACCTTCAACCCTCAACCCTGAAACCTTACCCTATCAACCTCAAGTCCTAAACCCTGAACGCCCTGCAGCATTAAATGGCCCTCAGTTCGAAGCCACTGGATGCTTCCAGCCATGCACCAGCTGGCCATAACTGGCCATCAGAAACCAAACCCTAATCCCTAAACCCCAAACCCTAAACCCCAAACCCTAAAGCCCAAACCCCCAACCCCAATCCCTGCACCCTAAACCCCAAACCCCCCAAAAACCTCAAATCCCATCCCCCAGCCCTCACCAATACTTACTTAGCCAAGAGTTGAACTTTCAACTTTTTGGGCTTCCGCCTCACTCTTACAGGTTATGTTTAACCTGTCTTTCCCGAAAACCCTTAACCCTAAACCCTAAACCCTGAACCCTAAACCCTAAACCCTAAACCCCAAACCTTATAAACCCTAAACCCTAAAGGTTATTGGAGAAGTAAGCCAAGCTCTGAGCTTGCGAGAGGCCTATTTCCTTCCATCGATTTGGCGGGCGGCTCTCAAGCTGATCCCGGAGCACGTGTAAGGCACCCAGCTTCTGCGACCCTAAACCCTAAACCCTAAACCCTAAACCCTAAACCCTAAACCCCCCCCCAGGCCCTGAGAAGTGATTTGTTCCAAGGTGCTGGAGTCCAGCTGCGGCCGCCAAGACCTGACCGGGGGGTGACTTCGGGGTGTAGGCTTGGGGCCCTAAGCCCTAAACCCTAAACCCTAAACCCCAAACCCGAGCCCCCACAACCCTGCCCACTTCTAATCTATGTTTGCGGCTCCTCTCCTCTGCAGCAGACCCTCCCCTCCCCCCGAGCCCTAAACCCTAAACCCTAAACCCTAAACCCTAAACCCTAAACCCTAAACCCTAATCCCTAACCCCTAAACCCTAAACCCTAAACCCTAAACCCTAAACCCTAAACCCGAGCCCGCTCCCGAGCCAGCCGCGCAAGCTGCCATCCGACAAAAGAGTTTGACACCGGGAAGTGAGGGGCTTAGCGATGTAAGGGTTTAGGGTTTAGGGTTTAGTTTTAGGGTTTAGGGTTTTGGGTTCAGGGTTTAGGGTTTAGGATTTGGGGTTTACGGTTTAGGGTTTAGGGTGGGTTTAGGATTTGGGGTTTAGGGTTCAGGGTTTAGGATTTGGGGTTTGGGGTTTAGGGTTCAGGGTTTAGGGTTTAGGATTTGGGGTTTAGGGTTCAGGGTTTAGGATTTAGGGGTTAGCCGATTTAGTGTTCATGTTGGTGTTCATGGACCTGGGTGTCGACTGGGGCTCGACTTTAGAAAACCAACCGAAGAATTGAGCATGGTTCAACTTCAGGGTTCAGAGTTTAGGGTTCCGAAACCCTCAAATGAAATTCTTGCTGTGGTTCTGGAGCTATTCGCCAGGAGTGCGGTTTAGGGTTTCAGGTTTAGGATTCTTAGTCTTCACTTTGGATGCTCAGAGAGCGAAAGGGCTCAGAGTTGTAGGATTTGTAGGGTTTTGAGGTTGGGGTTTAGGGTTTAGGGTTTAGGGTACAGGGTTTTGGGGGTGTGGGCTTACAGGTTGTAGGCTTTAGGGTGTAGGGCGTGTCACGCGCATGGGAACCCTGAGCGGCCCCAAGCCCAATTACCAAACTCGTTCAGGGCTTAGGGTTTAGAGGTTTAGAGGTTTAGGGTTTAGGGTTTAGGGTTTAGGGTTTAGGGTTTAGGGTTTAGGGTTTAGGGTTTAGGGTTTAGGGTTTAGGGTTTAGGGTTTAGGGTTTAGGGTTTAGGGGGGTTTACGAGAAGAAGGGGAGCCCTCATATAGACCCCCCCAAATAGTAGGATTCCCTTAATAACAAGGACCGCAAGATGGTACCCCCAGGGGTTTAGGGTTTAGGGTTTAGGGTTTAGGGTTGAGGGTTGAGGGTTGAGGGTTTAGGGTAACTTCGGAAAACCCCCAGGGGTTTATCGTGGTTTCAGGATATAGGGTTTCGGGCTTGGGGTAGGGTACATGTTTTTGGGTTTTGGGGTTGAGGGCTTAGGGGTTCAGGGCTTGGGTTTAGAAGTTTAGGGCTTAGGGGATTGGGGTTTAGGCTGACCCCGTATGATCACAACTTTTCTGTGATGGTTGCAGGTGTCAGGTGTGCAGATGCTGCTGGCACAGAACCTGTCCAAACCAGACCCTTCAGGACTAACCGGAAAGGGTTTAGGGTTTAGGGTTTAGGGTTTAGGGTTTAGGGTTTAGGGTTTAGGGTTTAGGGTTTAGGGTTTAGGGTTTAGGGTTTAGGGTTTAGGGTTTCAGGGACAGGCGTTGGTACTTTCCTAGGACCCAGAGCAGGCCCTGTTCACTTTTTTTCGGACTTAGGTTCCCTAAGAAGCTCCAAACAAAGCACCCCTTTTTTGTTCCTAGGCTACTCTTGGGCCTAGCCCTAAACCCTAAACCCTAAACCCTAAACCCTAAACCCTAAACCCTAGTTGCCCTAGTGTAGGTTCGAGGAAGCATCTTGGGTTGAGGCCAGATCACCATGCTGAGTGATAAGCCGACAGCTGCTGGGAGAGCCTCTGAGGAATAAGGGTTTAGGGTTTAGGGTTTGGGGTTTAGGGTTCAGGGTTTACGTGACTTCTTCGATGCCTGAAAAAGCCAAAAGCCCACATCATACACCCTAAGCCCTGCAAGCCCTATGTCGCAAAGACCCGTACCCTAAACCCTAAACCCCAAACCCCAATCCTTAAACCCTAAACTCTAAACCCTAAACACTAAACCCAACGACCCCAGACCCGATTCCCTACCATGCCCACCAGCAAGCTGCGGAAGCTGCAAAGGCAAGCAGAGCCGACGAAGCCACAGAACCATACCTTCAACCCTAAACCCTAAACCCGAAACCCTACACCCGAAACCCTAAACCTTAAACCCTAAACCCCCCTGAACACTAAAGCCCTAACACCCCACTTAAAGCCTGAACCCTAAACCTTCAACACTAAACCCTGAACCCTGAACCCCACCCTCCCACCCCCAAGCAAAAACAAGAAGCAACCATGCCCTCAGCCTTAAATCCCCAAAGCCTAAGCCCCAAAACCCTAAACCCCAAACCTCAAACCGTAAACCCCTAAACCCTAAACCCCTCAACCCCCTAAACCCCTAAACCCCGCAACCCTAAAACCCTAAACCCCTAAAACCCTAAACCCTAAACCCCCAAACCCTAAACCCGAAACCCCGAAACCCTAAACCCTAAACCCTAAGACCCTAAACCCTAAACCCCGAAGCCCTAAACCCTAAACCCTAAACCCTAAACCCTAAACCCTAAAGGAGATGGGCTGCTTGGCCTCATGGCAGGTACTGGCGAGGCCAGCAGCCTGCGCAGACAGGGCGAGGGATGTAGAAGTGTCTTAAGTTTACGATTTTTCGGTTTAGGGTTTAGGGTTTAGGGTTTAGGGTTTAGGGTTTAGGGTTTAGGGTTTAGGGTTTAGGGGTGCAGATAGAGTTTTCGGGTTTAGGGTTTCGGGTGTAGGGTTTATGGCGTTTATGGGGTTTATGGGGGCTTATCGGGGTTTGTATGGTTTGCGGGTTCAGCGTTTTGCAAGGTTTCGGGCTTTAGGGTTTCTAGGGTTTAGTGTTCATACAGGCTTGTGGGGTTTGGGGTTTGCAGGGCTTCGTGTGTACAAGGTATAGGGCTTCAGGGTTTACAGTGTTTATAGGGTTTGGTTTATAGGGTTTAGGTTCAGCAGGGTTGAGGTTGGTTCGTAGTACCACCATGGAAAGAGTAGGTAGCCAACGACCACGGTAATACGTACTACGCATGGGAGCCAGTGCCAAGCTGCCAGGCCCCCGCACAAAGGGTTTAGGGTTGGTTTAGGGTTTAGGGTTTAGCGTTTGGGTTTAAGGGTTTAGGGCTTAGGGTTTAGGGTAAATCCAATTTCTGTTTTGGAGCCTTGCGTTTCAGAGGTTTAGGGTTTAGGGTTTAGGGTAAAATGCCCTCAGTTAGGGTTTATGCTGTCAGGCGTCTGGTTCAGGCGGCGCCAGGTATGCTCATGTGCCCCCACACCCTGTGCCCTAAGTCCCAAACCCTGAACCCAACTCTGGACTCTAGACCCTAAGGCCTCAGCCTAGGCCCTCAACCCCAAAACCCGAACCCTAATAAACAAACACATGGCCGACTTGGCACTACGATTTCGGGCCATGGTGAGTGGAACTCAAGAAGAGAGGAAGGTCAAACGTCAGCGCCTTGACGAGTTTGACGGCCCTACTCCCTGCCGACACTTGACGCTTTGTGGCCTTGATGGTTCCGAAGTGCAGCTTCCTCTTGAAGACAACATGACCATGGAAGATGTCCGCAAGAGCGTCGCAGGAAAGATCGGCTTGCGGCTGGGTGGCATGCTTGTCCTGCTGTCTGGCGGGCATGGCGTGGACGATTCCAAGCCGCTGTTGGAGCAAGTTCAGGGCGATGTCCTCACGTATGTGATTCAACAGGTCGCCCTTGGCATGGTTTGCGTATGTTCCCGCATTGTTGGATGTAAAAAACTCTCGTGTTGACTTGTTTTCAGAGGGCCGAAGCGGTCAACCTAGGTTGGTGCAGGGCGCGCAGCAGCTGCGTTTCTGCGAGCCATTGACGGCCGACCCCTTAGTGTGATGGACACACATGCAAAGGACGCAATCTCTTCGTTGGAATTGCACCGTCTGTGCAGTCTCGAGAATGTTGAACTGCCAAAGAGCTTGCACTCCTTGAGCCTCGGGGATTGCTTCAACCAGAGCTTGGAGAATGTGGCTTTGCCTGACACCTTGCGGTCCTTGAGCTTCGGAGATGATTTCAACCAGAGCTTGGAGAATGTGGCCTTCCCTGGCAGCTTGCAGTCCTTGATCTTCGGGCATTGCTTCAACCAGAGCTTGGCGAATGTGGCCTTGCCTGGCAGCTTGCAGTCCTTGAGCTTCGGATGTTCTTTCAACCAGAGCTTGGAGCATGTGCCCTTGCCCAGCAGCTTGCAATCCATGAGCTTCGGGAATCGCTTCGACCAGAGCTTGGAAAATGTGGCCTTGCCCGGCAGCTTGCAGTCCTTGACCTTTGGACATGGCTTCAACCAGAGCTTGGAAAATGTGGCCTTGCCTGGCAGCTTGCAGTCCTTGACCTTCGGACGTGGCTTCAACCAGAGTTTGGAGAATGTGGCCTTGCCTGCCAGCTTGCAGTCCTTGACCTTTGGACATGGCTTCAACCAGAGCTTGGAGAATGTGGCCTTGCCTGCCAGCTTGCAGTCCTTGACCTTTGGACAAAGGCTCATCCTGCTTTCGGAAAATGTACCCGTCAGCTTGCAGTCCTCGACCTCTGCACACATTCTGAACCAGAGTCTGGAGAATGTGGCCTTGCCTGGCAGCTTGCAGTCCTTGACCTTCGGATGTAGCTTCAACCAGAGTTTGGAGAATGTGGCCTTGCCTGGCAGCTTGTACTCCTTGAGCTTCGGAGGCGATTTCAACCAGAGCTTGGAACATGTGGCCCTGCCTGGCAGCTTGCACTCCTTGAGCTTCGGAGGCGATTTCAACCAGATCTTGGATCGTGTGACCTTGCCTGGCAGCCTGCAGTCCTTGACCTTCGGACATGGCTTCAACCAGAGTTTGGAGAATGTGGCCTTGCCTTGCAGCTTGCAGTCCTTGAGCTTCGGAATGTTGTTCAACCAGAGCTTGGAGAATGTGGCCTTGCCTGGCAGCTTGCAAACCTTG